CCACCTCCCCAGGATCTGCTGTTTTTGAGGCTTGTGTCTGACATACTGACACAGGCACTTACTACGTACAGAGCAGCTGGGGCCACATCAAAATAACATTCTTCCTAGCGAGCCTCGGGCCGCATTCTGCCATGGTCAACAAATGCTGCGGTAGCTCTGAGATCGTCCTCAGAGCCCTTTCCACAAGGTGTTCACAGTGTAACTTGAGTGGGTATTCTACAAAATAAGATTTCTTATCGGCCCCAGGAAAGGTAAATATTCTCCAGGGTCTTAGCTGTGACTCAAGGACCTGAGGCACTATGTACCCCGGGTGCCTCCTCCTCATCGCCCCCAGCATCAGGCACCAGCTACCTCTTACGTGCTGGCTGGATTGACTTGGCATCTGGAAGAAATGTGTCCGAGGAAACCAGGGTGCAGGAGGGGTCACCCTTGCTGTCCAGGCTGATGGAGCTGGGAATGTGGGGCCAACTGGGCAAAAGGAGCAGGAAGGGCAGCACTTTATAGCCCCCACAGTGCCATGGCTGTCCCCACCCATCCTTGTGATGGCTGGAAGGATCCCTAGGGGCTCCAGACCTGAACAGAGGTGGCCCTGGGCTCAGATCTGACCTTCAAACAGGAGACAACGAGACTCTGGTCCTTTGGACAAAGTGCTGCCTTAGAAGGCTTTGTAAGCCAGAAGGTCTGGGTTAAGTGGAACACCCTTCTGTCCCCAAAGATGCACATATCCACACAGATACGTACATACTAACATGCATAACACACCTGACATGTGCCTAAGAGAGACCAGAGTGCCTGGGTTCAAATCCTACTGTTGCCTCTTCCTGGTGCTGTGATGTGACCAGTCCCCTTCTGGAGATACCCAGGACCTCACAGTCGTGTTTTCCCACCCCTTCCTTGCCTCACACCAGCAAAGGTGTTTGGAAGGGCAACACTGGGGAGGAAGGGGGCTTGAAGCCCTGGTGGGCTCCAAGGGTGCCAGGAAGGGAAGAAGGCAGGAGGAAGGGGCTACAGACAGGCCCCTGGGGTTGGCCACTTCCTTGAGATGTGCTCTGTCTCTAGTCTCCCACTTCACATGGACCCAGACCAAGTCTGAGCCAGGCAGAACCTGGTAGTCGTGAGTGCGGATTCAGTGGGCCCCAGGTCCCCCAACACAGTACCTTTTTCCATGGGAGAATGTGACCTGGATGCCAAATCACTGTCTTACAAACGTCCATCAGAGGCAGGGCTGTGGTACCCAGGTTGGTGGGTACTTGTGCAGGTATATGAGTGGGACCTCCCAAGGCAGGGCTGTTTGCTGTTGGTGACAGAGGGAAGCCATGTGTGGGGAGGGTGGCCAAGTTCTAGGTGTTGCCAAGTCTCCACCACACTTCCAGGCTCCCCTCCTTTTGTTTGTTCCAGGAGGTGAGAGTTTGCACATTCCCCGGGGCTGATTTCTTAGAACTGGGACTTCTTAACCCTGTTAGAAAGGAGACGAAGTTTGTCTGGCTGAGCAGGTCATGCCAGACAAGTCTTATTTCCTTCGCTGGCAGAGTCCCTGGGCAGGGACCGTGGCTTTTGCCTTCATCTGGGCTCAGGGAACTGTACGCGGGCCGTGAGGCAGAGGAACCTTCAGGGCATGGTTGTTGTGGGTAGGGAGTGTTAGGGTCAGTAGACCAGAAACCAGAGGGATATGACACTCCAAGGACATCTGCCCTTGAGCAAGATGTGTGCCAGGTCACCAGGCAGGGGGCCTGGGAAGATGGCCAGGAAAAGGCCATATAAACAATGATCATTACTGCTGGCTCTTTCTGCCTTCCCACTCACTGTGTAACCCTGGACAAGTTGATTCCCCTCTCTGAGCCCTCAGTTTGCTCTTCTTCTGTTTTAGGACTTGCTCTCAGAATCCACCTCTGGTCTCCCCATAGTTCTGCCCTTCCTCCAGTAGGAAGTGCCCTGATCTTGGGTTTCCTCTTATACCTGAGGTTAACCCTTCTTATCACCTTGAAGGAAGTCAGTTTATCTCTGAGTCTTCATTTATAAAAATAGCAGGATCACCCCCACCTGCCCTGTGCAAATCAAAACCACACTGAGATACCACCTTGCACCAGTTAGGATGGCTGTTATCAAAATAACAGGATAAATATTGCAGAGGATGTGGAAAAATTGGAACCCTGGGCACTGCTGGTGGGAACGTAATATGATGCAGCCCTTGTGGAAAATCACATGGTGATTCCTCAAAAACTTAGAATTGCCAGATGGTCCAGTAATTCCACTTCAGGGTATATACCCAAAAGAAATGAAAATAAGGACTCAAACAGATATTTGTATACCCATGTTCATAGTAGGTCACAACAGTCAAAAGGTGGAGATGACCCAGTTGCCTATGAACAGATGAATGGAGAAACAAAATGTGGCGTATACATACAATGGAATATCATTCAGCCTTAAAAAGTAAGGAAATTCTGGGGCACCTGTGTGGCTCAGTTAGTTGGGCGTCTGACTCTTGGTTTCAGCTCCCGTAGTGATCTTGGGGTCATGGGATCGAGTTCTGTGTTGGGCTCTCTGCTTGGCCTGGAGTCTGCTTGGGATTCTTTCTCTCCCTCTCCCTCCCCCCCCCCACTCTCTCTGTCTCTGAAATAGATAAATGAAATCTTTAATAAAAAAAAAAGAAATTCTGACACATACTACAACATGGATAAACCTTGAAGATGTTATGCTAAGTGATATAAACCAATAGCAAAAGGACAAATATTACAGGATTCCACTCACTATATGAGGTACTTAAGTAGTCAAATTTATAGAGACAGAAAGTCGGGTGATGGGTGCCCTGGGGCCGTAAGGGAGAGTGAGTAGAGGGAAGAATGGAGAGTTGGTGTTCAGTGAGTCCAGGGTTTTAGTTGTAGAAGATGAAAATGTTCTGAAGATGGATGGTGGTGATAGTTGCACAATATGAAGGTACTAAAATGCCACAGAACTGTGTACTTAAAAGTGGTTAAAATGATAAATTCCGTGTTATATTTGCTACAGACTGAATGCATTCCCCCCCCCACCAAATTCACGTTGAAACTTTATTCCCAATATAATGGTATTTGGAGCTGGGGCCTCTGGGAGGTGGTTGTGTCATGAAGACCGAGCCCTCAAGCATGGGATTATGGCCCTTATAAAAGAGACCCAGAGGGGCGCCTGGGTGGCTCAGTTGGTTAAGCGACTGCCTTCGGCTCAGGTCATGATCCTGGAGTCCCGGGATCGAGTCCCACATCGGGCTCCCT